CCACAGTTCTTGTAGATCCCTCAATTGTTGGGTTTTCAAGTTATTGGTTTTTCATTATATTTAATATTATTTTTATTTTTATGTGGTGCCGAGAATCGAATCCAGTGCGTCACGCACGCTAGGCAAGCACTACCATTTAAGCCACATATACCTTCTTTTTAATATTACCTTTAACACAATGTTACCATTGTGATTTTTATTGGTATCACCTTATGGGTATAGCTTTGTACAGGTATGGGGTAATGGATCAGGTATTAAGAATTTTGCCAGTATAGAAAATATAAACTGCAATTTACTTTTATCTAATTTTTGTTTTGCATATTGGTGTTCATTTCTAGCACTATTTATTAAAAATACAATCCTTTCTCTGTTAGTTTGGTCCCTTATTAAAGATCAGTTTATTATGTGAGTATGTGTCTACTTCTTGGCTTTCTGTTGGTGTGTGTCTATCCTTTTACTAATTTTGTGCTTTTTAAAAAAATTTTTTTAGATGTTGATGGACCTTTATTTTATTTATTTAATTATATGCAGTGCTGAGAATTGAACCCAGTGCCTCATACATGCTAGGCAAGTGCTCAACCCCAGTCCCCACCTCCAGCTATCTTGATTATTATAGCTTTAATAGTGAGTTTTGACATCAGATACTGTGAGTCATTCAGCTTTGTTTTCCCTTAATATTGTGTTGGCTCTTCTAGTTTTTTATATTCCGTTTTTTTTTTAAAGAATTTTTTTTTTTAATATTTATTTTTTAGTATTTGGTGGACACAACATCTTTGTCTGTATGTGGTGCTGAGGATCGAACCCGGGCCGCACGCATGCCAGGCGAGCGCGCTACCGCTTGAGCCACATTCCCAGCCCCTCCGTTTTTAATGTCTATTGAAATAGCTTGCTCTGGGGAATTTTATTGGTGTTGTAACAATCTATAGATCATGTTGTGAGGAATTGCACCTTTATATTGTTGAACCTCCCTTCTGGTTTTAGAATATAGAATATCTCTGCATTTTATTTAAATATTTGTTTTGTTAGGGTTATTATAGTTTTCCCTCCTTCCCCTCCTTCCTTCAGAACCCAGAGTCACTTTATCATTTAGCCATATTCCCAACCTTTTTTATTTATTTTGAGACAATGTCTTGCTAAGTTGTTGAGGCTGGTTTCGAAATTGCAACCTTCCTGTTTCAACCTTCTGAGTCTGTGAAATTGTAGGTGTGTGCCTTGGCCACCTCACCCAGTGAGGCTTGTAGTTTTCTGTATATACATTTTTGGTTTGGTACCCTGGATTGAACCCAGGGATGCATAACCATTGAGCCACATGGGGGTGTTGCTTTTAAAATAAATATATTTTTTTTAGAGACAGGGTCTTGCTAAGTTGCTTAGGGCCTCAGCCTCCCAGTTGCTGCGATTACTGGAGTGCACCACTGCACTTAGCTCTGCATATAGATTTTAAAAATACATTTTGTTAAGTTTACGTCTAAGTCTTTTGTGGTGGGTGCTGTTGTCTCATAGTTCTGGAGACTAGAAGTTTGAAATCGATGTTTTTGGTAGGGTCATGCTTTTGAAACCTCTAGGGGAAAATCTTAGCTTCTTGCAGTCATTAAAATGAATGACACATGGTTTGCCATTCATGTACTCTTTTTTGGCTTGTAGGTGTATCGTTGTAATCTTTTGTTTTCATGTGACATTCTCCTTATCTTTGTCTTCATAGGCCAATTTCTTTTATGTTATATACAGAGAAATTATGTCTGTATTTCTTCCCTTTTAACAATGGGATACATATCAAATACCTTCTTCTTACTGTTGCTTTTTCTAACATAATTATTTTTCCCCCTTCTGGTACTTAGAATTGAACCCAGGTTGCTCTACCATTGCATTCTATCTCCAGCCTTTTTAAATTTTTATAATGAGGCAGAGTCTCCCTAAGTTTCTCATCCTGATCTTGAACTTGGAATCATGTCTCCCCTTCCAGGTTGCTGGAATTATAGGCAGGTGCCACAGCTTTTGGCTTTTACATCTTAATAAATAGTTTATGTAAAAATTGTTTAGCTAGGGCTGGGGTTGTGGCTCAGATGTAGAGCACTTGCCAAGCATGTGTGAGGCACTGGGCTTGATCCTCAGCACTACATAAAAATAAAATAAAGGTATTGTGTTCACCTACAACTGAAAGATAAATGTTTTTTTTAAAAATTATTTAGCTAGCTGTAGCTTCTTCAAAGTGAACATTAGGAAAAAACACGACTTCCAGAAGTTCTCCTGTGTTTAGCAGAGTTGGAAGAAAGTGTAGTAAAGCAGCTTTGCAGCTATCCTTACAAAAGATGTAGTTCCAACCCAGGCATGGTGGCACATGCCTATAATCTAAGCATCTTTGAGGGCCCAAGGCAGGAGGATTGCAAGTTTGAGGCCAGCAGGAGCAATTTAGTGAGATCCTGTGTCAAAATAAAAAATAAAATGGGGTGGGGATGTAGCATAGTGGTAGAGCATTCCTGGGTTCAATATCCATACTGCCAAAAAAGAAGATTGTGCAAAAAATAACAGTTCTTCAGGGTTTTATCCATAAGACTCCTTAGTTGTTGCAGTCATTAAAGTGAATGACACATTGTTTTCGTATTTATTTTCTGAAATCACATTCTGTTCTTAGATTGGCAGCAGAATTATGAAATGAATTTCACAAAATAGGGCTTTGAAATCAAAGGTTTTGTACTTAATATTGTTAGAACTTGCACACTTGATCTTTGTCTATCTAGGAGACTCATTTAATTCTGGTTTACGTATTCTCATTTTACAGGAATAAAATTAAGTTAGATATAAGTGACGCGTTTATATTAATAGCACAAGTGCCAGAAGTAGGATTTAGCACACATCTATACTCTCCAAAAACCATGACTTTTCTAATAATGTCATCTTTTGCCATTTTTCATGTCTTCCTTATGTTTCTGAGTCTTTAGCTGGGATTTTAAATTGGTTTATGGGAGCACTGGGATTCAAATTTTGTATGATTATAAAATAATTGGATGCTTAAATTACACTGTGGAGGTATAAAGGATCATTGTTTTTGATGGAAAAATTAAACTGAAAAATCCTTGTTTTTTAATATCCATTTTCTTTTTATCTTATTTATCTGCAGGGAAAGCTTGATCCTAGACCATGTAGTATGCTTTTTTGTAATGGGAATATATCATGGTGATGGTATTTTCAACTTATTTAGTAAAATTTTCATAAACTAATGGTGTTTTTTTTCTAAGGTGAAAAAAAGATCTATTTTTTTTCCCCTCTAAATTATTGTTTGGGTGCTGTGGATACATAAAATGATAGAGGTATAAAAATTAATAATTATTCAATATTTTACTAAACAGAATTGGGATAGTTCTAGAAAGCAGATTTTCTAATCTTTGTTTACCTCCTTTATTTGTCCCCAAAACTTTAGTCTAATTACATTCGTTAGTATACTAACATTTTAGGGTATTTCTTTTTAGAGGAGATTAGAGGAAGCTATAGAGGTCTTTTAAAGTAAAGTAAAAGATCTGATTGCTCTGATTTTCCTTAAAAGTTTTAGGGGTAAAAATGAAAATCTATAGTTAATACTTGTGGCTTCTTAAATTGGTCAGTAAAGTTGGATGCCTTCAGTTTTCATCACATTGTTTATTCTTGTACATACCAGACAAAGTATTTTTACTTTTGCTAAAATGTACATTTCTTTCTCTGCCACAACACCGTGAATGGTAATGATTTTCTGGGGCACAGGAAGAAATTTCTCTTTTGTGCATATTTATAATTCAATTTCACTTTTTGGATAAAAACATTTTCAGAAAAATATGAAATACTTTGAAACATAACAAAGGTTATGAAATAAACCAATACTAATTAGAACATTTTAAAAATACATTAAAGTAATTCTGGTAATTCTGTGTTATTAGAAGAGAGTCATGAAGCCGGGCACAGTGGTGCACGCCTGTAATCCCAGCCATTTGGGAGGCTGAGACAGGAGAATTGCAAGTTTGAGGCCAGCCTCAGCAACTTGGCAAGACCCTGTCTCAAAATTAAAAAGAGAAGGGGGATTTATCTCAGTGGGAAAGTATCCCTGGATTAAATTCCTAGCACCCTCCTCATATATATATTTTCAAGAAGTCATGAAATTTTAGAAATTTGGATTTTAAGTTATACATTGTTTCTGTACTAAAAATATTTAGTATAGAAAAAGTGAAGCTGGGGTGTGTGTGTGTGTGTGTGTGTGTGTGTGTGTGTGTGTGGTGAAAGAAGCTGAGGACCTTAAAGCAGATATTCTTAACACTGTTCCATCCAGTAAGCAAGTTTTAAAAAGATGGTTCCAAAACAGAAAAATTTACTCTTGAAATCTTAGGCAAGACTTTGTTATAAAAGTAGATGTATTATGTCTGTTAAGTAAAAATAAGGAATTTAACAAAACAAAATACATATTTTGTATATGTATTTTGTTTTGTTAAATTTGTATTTTAGGTTTAAATTGAGAGAAGGGAAGGACTTTATATATTAGGAATGTGGAATAAAACCAGTAAGATATTAGGATAAAAGCATAAGTGGAGGTACCATTTATAGGCAGGTAGGTACTTGGGAATAGTAATGTGAATTCCATTGAATAGAACCGAAGTTCCCTGAAGGTTCAAAATCTTAACTACATTTAACTACAGATGAATAGGTTTATCACTTTGGACTTGACATATGTGGAGTTAGCAAATATAAATAAGTTGTCTGCTATTTTTCTCTAATAACTTTCCCATAAAGTCAACAAGCCATTTGTTCTATTGTTCAAAGTGGTGTTATTTCATTAAGAATATTGAAGTTAATATTTCTTACTTTCTTTGTTTTAAATACTCTTAAACTGGCTAATTAAGTCCTAGAAAAGGACAGTTTATTTTTCTAGAGTAGATAAATCTATGAAAGAGGGGCTTTAAGTTTTTTATAGGTAATATTTTAAAATAGGCCTTTTCCTTGTTGACATAACTAACATTTATTTTCTGTTTATTTTTAAGACGAGCAAAAATCAAATTAAAGTAGATCTTGTAGATGAGAATTTTACAGAATTAAGAGGAGAAATAGCAGGACCTCCAGACACACCATATGAAGGCAAGTACTTTTTTCTGTATCAAAATATCGTGCGTATTAGAACTTGTCTGAAACATTAAATCAGAATTAATTTTGAGCATCTATAAACTACATAGAAGGTAACTACATTTGGCTTAGTATATACAGCAATTTTTAAAATGATAAATTTAGATACTTAATCCAGACTGACTTTTCTTACTGAATTTTAGTTAATTTTTTCTTTCCCCAAAAGAGATTTAGCACAGCTAAGTTACAGGTTGTGCAGGTTAGAATTTTTAAAACGTAATAGAATGTTAAGCCTCTTTCTTATATAGTCTGTAGACTCTCAAGTTACCCTTCATATGGTATTTATAACAAACCTTGCCTTAAATTTCTGATTAACTTTGTTTTTGCTTTTTAAAGCTCCTCTCCCATTTGTCATATGGCATTTCATTCACTCATATATCTTCATACTGGTTGTAGTTCATGTATTTAATTTTCTTATTTAGGAAAGTTTTGAGTGATCATTTTTAGATTTATAGAAAAGAAAGTAGATAGCTTTACTTAGTTTTATGTTCACAAATTAAGTCTGTAGCTCCTTTACTGTAGACCACAGAATTTGAGGGTAAGATATATAGAGAGAAGCTTTAGCATTTTAATTTCTCATTAGGCAAATCTTCATGAATGAATATTATAAATTTGGATTAAGCAGCATAACCATGGTTCTTGGAATCTAGGTATTCAGATATTTGTTTAGTAGAAAGCATGTAACAATATGTGGTAGCTCTTTAGAAGCATTACATGTATGCATACTCATATGTTTGGTTCTTAACAAATCTTATGAGGTAAGTAGAGTTATCACTTTTTCATAGATAAAGAAACTTAAGCTCAGAGAAGTTAATTAACTTATCTAAGATTTGATATGAAGAAGAGGCACAGCTGGGATTTGAGGCTTAATAGCCTTTTACGTCAAAGTTATACTTTTAATAACTTGCTACTTTGGAGTGAATCAGGATTGATATTGGAAGGGGTAATTATGATTATTCTGAATATGGTGGTTCTATAATTTGGTATTGAATAGTAACCCCCCAAATTGAGAAAAGTCTAATATTCTTGAATATTTTTGTCCTTATTCAAAAATTTAAAGACTCTAGTATGTAATTAGCATACTATCTTTTTGAGGGGTGGGTGTGATACTGGTGATTGAACTCTGGAGTGCTTTACCAGTGAGCTATATCCTGAGATTGATTGATTGATCAATTTGGGGGTTAGGTTTTTGCTAAGTTGCCAAGGCTGGTCTCTGATTTGGAATCCTCCTGCCTCAGCCTCCTGAGTTGCTGTGATTACAGGCATGTGTCACTGAACACTGCTTATTTAGTCCTTTTGATAGTAAACATAGAAGAGACCTTTAGTTATATCTTACAAAAAATTAAGTGCTTGTCTTAATTGCAAATGCTCGGTTATACCTGCTGCTTCTTGAAGGCAGGCATAATAGTTCTTGAATTATTTTTTTAGATTGTATAGATGTTTTATTTTTTTACTTATACTGGGAATTTAACCCAGAATCACTTTATCACAGCTGTATTCTATTCCTTTTTATTTTGAGAAGACAGGGTCTTGCTAAGTTGTAGAGGCTAGCCTCAAACTTGGAATCTCCTGCTCATCCTCCTGAGTTGCTGGAATGATGGGCATGTGCCACCACTCCTGACTAAATGTTCTTTTTGGGATTTGTTTTGTTTTGTTTTTTGAAGGCAGTAAGGCAACAGTATTATTCTAGAGTTCTTCCAGCAAATTTTTGTAACAGACAAGATACTTCCTGAGCTTAGTTGTTAGATGAGAAAAATTTCTTACCTTCTTAGCAACTCTTAATAGGTAAGTGATTTTTTAAAAAATATATATATAATATTTTTTAGTTTTAGGTGGACACAATATCTTTATTTTACATTTATGTGGTGATGAGGATCGAGCCCAGTGCCTCATGCATGTTAGGCGAGTGCTCTACCATGGAGCCACAATCGCAGTCCCAGTGATTTTTTTTTTTTTTTAATTGGATAAAGCACATTTTTTTGTATTTCTTTTTAGTTAGAAATGTTTGGTAACTAAGTATTTAATCCTGCTTCTGCTTTTAAATAAAACAGTCTTTTGATAAGATTAAGATTAATATGTTTTTTGGATATTTGAGTTATACTATCTCATTCTGTTCTTTTTGTCATAAGTATTGAGAGTATTGAGATGATCATTTTATTTAGTAAAAGTACCATACAAGGACATAAATTAGAAACTTTCTTTGAAATGTAAGAAAAATGTTTAAATAATGTTTCTTGCAGGGTTCTTACTTTTTTTTTTCTTCTTTTGGTGTTACTGGGGAATCCAACCTATTGATGCTTTACTACTGTGCTAAAACCCCAGCCCCTTTTATTTTTTATTTTGAAACACAGTCTCACTAAGAGTTAGAGGCTGACCTTGAACATGCAATCCTCCTGTCTCAGCCTTCCGAGTTGGCAGGATTATAGGTGTGCCCCACTGTGCCCGGCTAGTTGTTTGGTTTTTATTTGATGATGGGCATTGAACCCAGGGCCTCTCACATGCCAGGCAAGTGCTCTGTCACTGAGCTACACCCCCAGCCTCTTTGTGTTTTTTAATTTTGGTTTAAATTAAAAAGCAAAAGCAGAAGTTTACATGTAGAATGTTAGACATGTTTTTAATCTATTAGGTAATGAGGAAGTCATTTTATATAGTATTTTAAAATAATCAGATTGAGAAGTAGAATACCCATTGAAAAATTGCTGTGATGTGTGTTTATTAAACTCAGTTTTCTTCTTTTGACTAATAAAATAACTCAGTGGTAAAAGAACAATTTACTTTCTTCCTAAAAGTTCTTTTTAGTTTCTAGATTACTGTTGATTGGCCAAAAATTCTCATCCCTTTTCAACCACAACCATTTTTTAAAAATTAATTTAAAATTTAATTTATGAATTTTTAATGTTAAAAGCTCTTCTTAAAGCAGGGAGTAGTAGCTTATATCTTCTGTAGGCCCAGCTACTTGGGAAGCTGAGGCAGGAGGATTGCTTGAGGCCCAGGGGTTCAAGGCTAGTCTGGGCAATTAAAAGAGATCCTGTATTGTGGAGGCGGGGGGCTATTCTTCAGGAGGTAACTATTTAAAATGAATGCTGTTTTTGTTTTTATGCCTATGTGTTTTCCTGCACTGAGGATTAAACACCCAGGGTTTTATGCATGCTAGGCAAGTGTTCTGCATCCATGATCTCCCTTCCAACCCCTCCCCCTGCCTTTTCCTTTTTTTTCTTCTGAGAATGGGTTTCAGTATGTTGGCCCAGGCTGGCCTTAAATTTGTTGTCCTCCTATCTCACTCTCCCAACTAGCTGGGATTACATCTGGTATATACAGTGTGTTTTGTAAAAAATTCCCTTATATGTATCAACCTGATTAAATATAATCTGTGACATTTTTGGTCAATGATGGACTATGGATTTGAACAGTTGTCTGTTAAAATTACATTGCCTAGTGACATTGTAACTGTCCTGGTATATTCTTTTTGCACAGTGATGAGATCACCTAATGATGCTTCTCAGAACACATCCTGTTGTTAAACGACACATGAATGGTATTATGGTTAATGCTGTAGTGATTATATATTATAATTTTTCAGGTAATAATGCAAGACAGAACATACTCTTAATCTTTTAGGCAGAAGGCCGAGAAACATATAAGACAACATGTAACATGGAGTAGAAATAAAAATATCTCTGGGCTTGCACACTGCTCATAAGAGATTGTTTTGGACATTCAAGAAATAATAACTTTGTATAAAGGATGGTAATCTGAAATTTAATCAGGAAAAATAAATAGATTTGTAGGAAGAAAAAAGAAGAGCCTATTGTAATGTTCAAGTCAAATTTAATCATGTATATTTGATTTGAAGCTAGTATTTATAATTCTGAAAGTTATTTCAGTATTCACAAAATTTTCTATTACACTTCTGTTACCTGTCCCCCCCCCCCTTTTTTTCTTTTCATTTCTTTATTCTTTACTGCTATCATATGTTTTGTGATTCAGGCATCTGGTTCTATTCATGTATTTAATGGATGGGACTCTATTGAAAAGAATTCTAAGAGAAGAATTGGAACTCAAAAGTGCTTAAGGAAAAGGGTACCAAGTGAAATGCCCTTTTCCCCAGATCCAAAATCATCCATTTATAACAATGGAGGAGGTGTGAATGTGAGAGAATGTAGGAAATAACTGGGGAAAGTTTCCTGCTTGACTTTTTTTTTTTTTAGTATTTTTATTGTTGAATTTATTTATTTATTTTTTTTTTACTTATTTGTATGTGGTGCTAAGAATCCAACCTAAGGCGTCACCATGCTAGGCAAGCGCTCTACTGCTGAGCCACAACCCCAGCCTCTTGACTTTTTTTTTAAGAGCTGAGCATATAGAATTTTGATGTTAATAATGCCTTCCCCCATCGGTTTAATCACCTAGGGACTAGTCTTTATCTACTCCATCCCTTGATAATTATGAAGCAAAATACCATAGTTTTATATGTGTTTCAGTAGCACAGTTTTATTTGCTGTTTTCTAATAATATTCTGTGTCAATAAGTCGTAAACTCTTAGAATCGGAAAGTTAGACATAGGATTCAAGACTTATTCCATGAGAATTTCCTGAGAGAAAGTTATCATTTCTTTGAATGCCCTAATTATGAGAAATTAGAAATACTTTTTAAAATATCTGTTTAGTGACTGGTTTCTTAAGACAACTCCAAAAGAAAAAATGTTGTCTTCTGTTTGTATACAGCATTACTGGTTAGAACAGCTTCTTTATAAGTTTGCATTTTATATATCCATTTAAAGGAAGAGAATAGTATCTTGTCTTCTTGGATGTCTTATTTTTTTTTTAAATATTATTTATTTATTTAAAATATTTTATATTAATTTTTTAAAATTAACAAAAAATGTTAGCATTTAATTTAGGTCACAAGATAAAAGATTGGGAATTTTTTTTTTAATTCAAGAGAACCAGTTAGAAATAGATTTTTGAGTTTGTGGCCTAATCTATATTCTTTGTCTCTGTACATCTATTCTTTTGTATCTCCTTGCCTTCATTCTTTTTATTTTTTTCCTTCCACAACCCCCCCCCCCCCCCCCCCCCCTGTTATTAGTGACTCTTTTGTTGACTAGAGGCAACAAAATGAAATGGAAGTTAATTGTTTTCATGAAATATTTGGTATTGGGTTGTCTGGATTTAATTTATTCATGTATGTCTAGTCCTATTCCTCACTGATAAACGAATTGCTGATATGAAAATGGGTCTTATGGATGCTTTAAAATAAGTATTAAATAAAATCTGGTGCTTTTGATGATTTCCTTTTTGGGTTTCCACTTTAAAATTAATTTGCAGTCGAATATAAAATAATGAATGTTTTTAAAAGTTTTGTTAGTATACTTGGTTTACATATTTGAGTTGAACAGCATTGTTTTCCCAATTTTTTAGGAGGAAGATATCAACTAGAGATAAAAATACCAGAAACATATCCATTCAATCCCCCTAAGGTATAGTAAACCTATTTTTATGCATGAACTTTTGAAATTTTTTTATACTTGGCTCTACTAATGTATGTTTTAGTGCTTATTAAAGTTACCACTTTATGAGTTGTTTGCTGTGTTTAAGATTTCAGGCCATGGCAAGTGGCTTGCTTCTGAAATTAGAATAAAAAGCAGGCTTACTCAAAAGCAGCCAGTAGTGGCTTTACATTGGAATAGAGTGTGCATCCAATAATGACTCAGATACTGGGTCTGCAAAAACTTGCAGTGTTCCCAGATTTAGAGAGAGGTTCTTACTTTGCTCAAAGAAGCAAGTGTTTTAGGGAATAATGTATTCTTCATTCTTTCAGTAATTATTTGAATATTATGTACCAAGGAATATAGCAATAAGGCTTTCACTTCTGCTTTCATGGAGCTCACATTCTATGAGAAGTAATCAGCAAATAATTGCAAAAACATTTTAAATGTGAAGTGGAAATGATCTTACCTTACCCTATGGTCATGTATAACAAGAGGTAGCCTGAGCTGGTGTTTTTTTTTCAACTGAACCTCTTCCTTCATGTTTTTACTTTTGCCACTATCACAACTTTTAATTTAGCCATTCAACTTAGGTACTTACTTCCCTATTTTGCCTGTTATTAATCCCTTCCATCTTTGCTATTTCTAATCTTCCTAAATATAGTTTAGGTTATCCTTCTTTTCGTTCTCTGTTAATAAAAGTCTAAACTCCTTATCTTGGCATTTAAAGTCTCCTACAGCCTGACCCCAGTTTTCTTTTCTACCCTTATCTTCTACATCTCCACCCACAACATGGTCTTGTTTTCCAACCTAGATTATTGGCTCTTTGTGGATGATATTTATTCTTTCATGTTTTTTCTCTAATTTTTGCTTGAATCTTTTGTCCTTATTTGAAATTCTGGCTTTTTTAAAAGATGAGGGTGAAGTGCCACTTTTCTCCATTAAGCCTGTCAGATATTTCCCATTAGCATTTTATAGGATTTATATAGTACTTGCATAAATTTTTGTATTATTTTGGACATGTATCTTTGACTTATTTTTATTTGCTCCTGAGTCAAGGACTGAGTTTTACACCTACATATTATCTTTGGCTCCTCATAATATAGTGCCCTTTAATATATTATAGCAGTTCTCAGAACTTTGTGGAATTCATACTCTCAAACTATTAGTTGTTCCAACTTAAGAATAAACATGGTGGGGCTGGGGTTGTGGCTCAGTGGCAGAGTGCTTGCCTAGCATATTTGAGGCACTAGGTTTGATTCTTAGCACCCATATGAATAAATAAAACAAAGATCCATCTACAACTTAAAAAAAAAAAAAAAGAATAAACATGGTAATGGGAAGGGTGAATTTAGAACAGCTACCAGAATGGGATATCTCTGCTTGATGTACATTTATTTTTTGACATGCTCCCTCCCCTTTTTTTTTAATTGTGGCAAAATGTTCATGGCATAAAATTTGCCATTTTAACTATTTTTAGGTGTGTTGGTTTTTTTGTTTTGTATTGTATTGGTACTTGGGATTGAGTCCAGGGGCACGTTACCCTTTACCACTGAGCTATACCTCCAAGGTTTTTTTTTTTTTTTTTTTTTTTTAATATTTATTTTTTAGGTGTAGATGGACACAAAACAATGCCTTTATTTTTATGTGGTGCTGAGGCTCGAACCCAGGTCTTGCCGGTGAGTGCTAGGCGAGTGCTCTACCGCTGAGCCACAATCCCAGACCCTGGTTCTTTTTTTTTTTTTTAAGATTTTATTTTATTTTTTTAGTTGTAGTTGGACACATACCTTTATTTTATTCACTTATTTTTATGTGATGTTGAGGCTTGAACCCAGGGCATCTCACGTGTTAGGTGAGCACTCTGTCCCTGAACCACAACCCAGCCACCACCACCCCACCAACCCCCGCCCGTTCTTTTTTTTGGACATGGGGACAAAATGAAAAAGTTACTGAGGGTCTTGTTAAGTTGCTGAGGTAAATTTAGTATCCTCCTGTCTCAGTCTCCTTAGTCACCGGGATACTAGGATTATAGGTGTGCCTCACTGCATCTAACTTTTAGATGTATTGCTCAGCAGCATTAAATATATTTTTGTGCAGTTGTCATCACCATTCATTTCCAGAACTTTTTTGTGTTTTTGTAGTACTGAGGATTGAACCTATAGCCTTGAGCATGCTGGGTAAATGCTCTACCACTGAACTACATTCCTAGCTTTTTTCAAATTTATGCTTTGAGACAGAGTTTCACTAAGTTGCCCAGTCTGTCCTTGAACTTGTAGTCCTCCTGCCTCAGCCTCCCAGTATCTGGGATTATAGGTAGCCTCTTGAGAAATTCAGATATAGGCTACAGGTGTGTGCTACCCATTCCTGGATTTTAATTCATTCGTTTTAAAAAACAGAAATAAGATGGAAGAAAGAAAAGTGCTGTAGATGGACTGCTCTCAACCATTATACTTAAAATGACAGGTAAAACTGTCACTTATGGTCTGGGTCAGTGGTAAAGTGCTAGCCTATCATGAGTGAGGCCCTGGATTTGATTCTCAGCACCACATAAAAAAAATAAAGGCATTCTGTCCACCTACAACTACAAAAATAAATAAATAAAGGTTAAATTGTTTATAAAGATCACTGGACTCTCCTTCCATGATCCTGGGAAGAACGAGTAAGGACACAATCTCTGAAAGTATGAGTGTGGTTCTTCCAAAACAGTCAGTCAACAGTTAGTTGAACAGTAAGGGTTCAATCTTACCTCGATTTCACTGGCTTTATGATTTTAGGCAAGTTATCTAATTTCTGTGTACTTCAGTTTCTCATTTGTTTTAAAATCCTCTCCTGGGATTATAAAAATGAAAGGAGTTAACACATGTAAAGTACTTTTCAGTAATTCTATAAAACATGTTTTCCCATCTTAGTATCTTTCAAATGAGAATCCATATTTCAGTGGATTAGCATATCATCATTTAATTGGAAGAAATTTTTGTCTTCCGTGAAGGCACTTAAAGTAATGTTTTCTTGAATAATTGATGTTGCCTGAGATTTAGTAAAATAGAATACTTAGAAAAGTGCATTTCGCAGAGCAGATACTTGGTAAATATTAGCTAGAATTAGCCAGTAAGTTACAACTAGTTATTATTTCTTTATTGCTTTGCTGGGGATTGAATGTAGGGTCTTGCACATGTGAGGGAAGTGCTGTACACTGAGCTGCATCCCTAGCCTCATAACTGTTCATATAATAAAGAATGGCTTGGTGCAGTGGCACATGCCTGTAATCCCAACAGCTCAGGAGGCTGAGGCAGGATGATCACAAGTTCAAAGCCAGCCTTAGCAACTTAATGAGGACTTAACCAACTTAGCAAGACCCTGTCTCAAAATAAAATAATTAAATAAAAAAAAAATTAAATAAAATAATTAAATAAAAAAGTCTCAGTGGTTGAGCACTTCTGAGTTCAATCCCTAATACCGAAAAAAAAAAAAAAAAATCAAATAAACAAAAAACCAAACATAAAGAATGAAGGGTTGATAAATGCTCCAGCATGGATGAACCTTGAAAACCTGCTAAATGAAAGAAACAGACACCAGATTCTCTACATTATGATATCATTTAATGAAATATCAGAAAAGGCAAATCATTATGGACAAAAAGTAGATTGGTAGTTTTTAGAAATGGGGTGGGTTAGAGAGTAATGAATAGTGTAGGCTGATAGTTACAGGATTTCTTTTTCTTTTTTTTTTTCTTGGTACCAGAGATTGAACTCATGGGCACTTAACCACTGAGCCACATCCCCAGCCCTTTTTTATTTTATTAGAGACATGGCATGAATATGCCATATTTTAGAGACAGGGTCTAACTAAGTTGCTAAGGGCTTCTCCATTGCTGAGGCTGTCTTTGAGCTCGTGATCCTCCTGCCTCTGCCTCCGCCTCCAGATACTCTGCCAGACATGCACCACTGTGCCGGCTAGGATTTCTTTTTGAGGTGATAAAATTTTCAAAAATTAGACTCTTATTGATGGCTAGACAACTTGGAATATACTAAGAATTATGACATTTTGTACTTTTCTTTCTTTTCTTCCTCCCCTCCCCTCCCCTCCCCTCCCCCCTTGGTGATTGGTCTCAGGGCCTCGTAAATACTAGACCAGTGCTCTACCATTGAGCTATACCCCTGGCTTAGTGAAATTGTGCACTTTAGGTGGGTCAATTATGTTTCAGTAAAGGTGTTTCTTTAGGGTCTGTACTAACTCCAAAGTAATTGCATAGTTCTGGCTCTGTTTTAGCACTTTGAGATAGGACCTTCCCTCTTGATCTGCAGTTTTCCTTTTTTTCAGTTATTCATGGTCAATCAGGATCTGAAAACATTAAATGGAAAATTTCAGAAATAAATATTTCCTCAGTTTTAAATTGTTTATTATAATAAATTGGTTTTCTTTAGCTATTCTTAAGTAAATTAAGCTTTATCATAAGTATATATGTATAGGAATAAAACCCAGCATATATAGGGTTTAATACTGTCTGTAGTGTGGGGCATACATTGGTAATCTTGGCACCTATTCCTCATGGATAAGGTGAGTATTACTATATTGTGCAGCTAAGATTTGAGAAGATATTAAAAACTTTCGCTTATTTATCTTTTTTTTCTGGGTGGGACTAGTAATGGGGTTTTAACCTTGGGCACTCTACCAATGAGTGACATCACAGCAGTCCTTTGTATTTTTTATTTTGAGACATGGTCTTGCTAAATTTCAGAGGCTGGCCTTGGATTTGGGATCCTCCTGCCTCAGCCTTTCCAGGCTCTAGGATTATAGGTGTAACAACCATACCAATCTTGTTTATTTTAATATGCACATAGCATATTTTCTGTTTATTATTCTCCAATAAATCCTTGACCAGAAGAGCAAAAGTTTACTTCCAGATAGAGAAGATATGTCTTGGAATTATCTGAAAATAGTGAAGGAATTCGATTAATTGTTTGTATACAACCAAGGTTTTCTCAATTGTACTATATGTAATTAATGAGAAAAACCATTAAATTTTACAGTTATCTCAGTGATTTGTTCTTTTATTAGAAACTAGGTGTGGATTTTCTTTTTCCTTGGTTTTATAAGCATACTTTTATATGTGAAATGGAGTATTAAATACTAATGTTGGTAATATTTAACGAGCATTTCCTTCTATGCATGTATGTTGAAAATAAGCATTTTATTTTGTATAACAAGTGAATTAAAACTGGTTTAATAATATAATATCCTTCAGTTTCAATCTTGAAACTGGAAATTCCTGATGGAAATGAACTCCTGTCCCGTAAGAAGTAGGAACTGAAATGTTTGTGGAACTGAAGAGTGTGTGAAATGTAGGTTGTGTTCCATAGGAAGAGAAATGATGATTAGCTGGTATAGATAATTGAGAATAGTCTCGATTTTATTATCTTCTGTGCACATGGTGTTCAGATGTGGTTTTTATATTGTTTTGTTTTTGTGGTCTTTGCATGCTCCCTAAAGCTAATGAGTATTCTAAAGCTCCAGATAGTTTGAAAATTAGTTTTGTATGGGAAAATAAGGAGACATGAATTGCTATTAGAAAATATCCTAGTACTATAAACTGTTCCTTAACCTGTTTTGTAATCAAAGGCAATTTTGACTCAAATAGGTCATGATAGGTGTCACTGTACTATTACTTATACTACAGCCCAGCCAAGTTCCTTTGGTTCTGTGCTTTTCTTAATATAGGTCAGGAATGGTAGGACTATGGTCATAAGTGGTGGTATACATGGGTATAAGCCGGATATTCAACAATAGGACAGTATTCAAGGATGCATGGAGTACTAATTTATAACATTAAGGCCTGAGAAAGGAAGAGGAAGAATTGAAAAAACCTAAGAAGGGAGATAGTTAATGGTGAAGAACAGTAAGGGGGAAAAAAGTTAAGGGCTAAAGAGCATTATATTATACAAAAAATGCTTATGTATGTACTGGTCGATAATGGTGTGTACTCTGATTTCTTTCTTTGTTTGCGCCTTTCTGCCTCTGGGAATCAAATCTACAGGCATCACCATGCAAGTACTCTACCAATGAGCTACAACCCCAGCCATGGGAGAATGATTTCTTTCTGAAATTCGAAATTATTTGTTTTGAACTGTAGATAGTACAACAATATAAAAAGTAGCTTAAGAATTACCTTAGTCCTGATATTTGCTTGATTCTGCATGTGCATCTTCAGAGAATTATATATAGGAAACTCTTCTTTAATAAGCAAGATGAGCATGACAGTGTATCCTAGTAATACCAGCTCCTTGGGTGACTGAGGAAGGAGGATTGCAAGTTCAAGGCCACCTTGGGCAACTCAGAGACTCTGCTTTAAATAAAAAAGATGAGCAATAATTAGTTCAGTGGTAGAGTGCTTGCTTAACATGCATGAGGCCTTGAGCTCAATCCTCAGAACTAAAAATAAGTAAATAAATAGGAGTAAGTTCACACATCCTCAGATCACTTTTCTAAACTATAAACTTTGTGATATTTTCTTTTTTTTTAAGATGATGTTGTTTTTTATTTCTTCCCCCCCCCCCCCATGTTTCTTACATTTTCAGTAGTAATTTAAAATTCTGTTTTCCAATTGTTAAAATATTATTGAACCATTTTGTTTTAAAGTTACAGAGTGCTGGAATTTCTTTCCTTCCTTCCTTTCTTTTTTAATATTTTTTAGTTGTTGATGTACCTTTATTTTTTATTTACTTATATTTGGTGCTGAGGATCAAATGCGGTGCCTCATACGCTAGGCAAGTGCTCTACTACTGAGCCACAACCCCAGTCCCTGGGGTTTCTTTATTGAAGTTAAAGGCAGTGGTTATTTTCTACCTGTATACATTGAATTCAATTAATGGTAAATATTAAGATGTAAATTTTGTAGTTACAGAGAGATGTTTCCTGTACATAAGCCCTGTATTATTGTCTTATTTGACCTGGACTGTATTTCAGGTATTATTTATTTTTGAAATAGGTTTGCCATAATATTTAAATTCATATTCCAGTGTGAGGCACTTTGAGATACTGGGGATCGTTTAGGAAGCAGGATGGATACATTCTTTTTAGGGAAGACCAGACAAGTAAGGCAGAATTATAGAAGTTTGGTGATTTCTGATGCAAGAAAATACAGGGTGTTTTGAGAACAGGTTGGGAAGAAGTGATATGGAAACTGAAACTTGAAGGATGAGGAGTGTTATAGTAAGCTTTTTTGCTGCTATGAGCAAAAAGACCTAAAAACAACAATTTTACAGGGGGAGAATTTGTTTGGGGGGGCTCAAGCTTTAAAAAGTCTCAGTCCATAGATGGTGAAGTCCATTGCTCTGGGAGGGAAGGGAGTCAGAACATCATGGAGAAAGAGTGTGTTGGAGAAAGTGGCTCAGGAGATTACACCAAGAAGCAGAGAGAGAAAGAGAGATACAGCTCTTCTCAACAAGGACAAAGTATATACACCAAAAGCATGTCCCCAATAGCCCCCCCTCCTCTCACCACACCCTTTCAGCCTATAGTTACCATCTAATCCCTACCAGAGGATTAATGCAGTGGTTAGGTGAAGGCTCTCCTAACCCAGTCATTCACCTCTAAATTTCATTGCATAATGGACACATGAACTTTTGGGATACCTAATATCTAAACTATAACAAGGAGTTATCTAGTGGCAAAGGCTGAAGAGATATGTTACTGAGAAAATGAATATTCGTGAAGGCCCAGAGGCAAATTACCAATTTGAATTTCTCTACCTAGAGAGTGGATATGGGGTGGAAGTGAAATTGGAATTTAAGGGCTAGGTGAGGAGTGTGGAATTAAGATAGGTACATGGTGTAATCCCAGGGACACACAAAGCTGAGACAGGAGTATCTCAAGTTCAACGCCAACCTGGGCAATTTAGCGAGAACCTATCTTTTACCAAAAAAAAAAAAAAAATGCAGGTTGGGGGCTGCTGGGGATGTAACTCAGTGGTAGAGTGCCCCTGGATTCAATTTCTAGTATTGCCTCCCTAGTATTGTGGTCTTACATAAAATAAATGAGAGGTCATTAAAGGGCCTGATAGGGACACAAAATTATATTTTTTTAAAGGGGTACACTGCATTCAGTGTGGAAAATGTATTGGAGGGAACAAAAGAGAATAAAATCAAGATACTCTAGTAATCCACCTGAAAAATGATAGTCTCCTTTGAGGAGATGGTTTTGTGTGTGAATGGAGAGAAGTAGGTATCATTGAAAAAAGCATCTATTTTAAGAATAGAAAAAGAGCAAACATGTTCTAAATGGAAATGTGGAAAATGTACATTTGTTTTAGGGGTTTTGAATTCACTAATAACTTAAAGTGCTTTTTCAGATTGAATATGACAGTGAATGAGTAGGAGGTGAAGAAGTAGAGACATAGGACAGACAAATCAAGAAATCACAAAAAGAAGTGGAAGCTACTTAGCTTCTTATCAGAAATAGATTTGTAGCATATTAGTGAAGAGTTAATTTTTGTCAAGTATTTAGAACATTAGTAGGCACATACTAATTAACCTGTTACTTAATTTGGACTCATTGGTCACTCTAATAATAGCCAGGTGTGAGGTGGCTTACACCTGTATTCCCTGAGGTAATATAATATAATTTGAAGATCACAAATTCAAGTCCAGCAAGATACTGTCTCAAAAAAATAAAAAGTAATGGGGAGGGCTGGGGCTGGGGCTCAGCGGTAGCACACTTGCCTGGCATGTGAGGCACTGGGTTGAGTGTCGGCACCACAAATAAATAAATAGATAGATATAGATAGATAAGGTCTATCAACAACTTAAAAATATTTAAAAAAAAAAAAAAAAGTAGTGGAGATATATCTCTGGTAGTGTGCCCCTGAGTTCAGTTCCCAGCACTGGGGGAAAAAAAAAAAACAAGCCAAGCTTGGTGGTGTACACCTATGATTTTTGCATCTCAGGGAGGTTGAGGCAGGAGGATGTTGAGTTCAAAGCCAGCTTCAGCAATTCATTGAGGACCTAAGCACATTGGTGACCCTGTTTCTCTAAATAAGATATAAAAAAGGGCTCGGTTTGTGGCTCAGTGGTTAAGCACCCAAGGTTCAATCCCTGGTATGAAAAGAACCAAACAAAAAAGGATTGAGCCAGGCGCTATGGTGCATGCCTATAATCCCAGCTGCTCTGGAGGCAGAGGCAGGAGGATTGGGAGTTCAAAGCCAACCTCAGCAATGGTGAGGCACTAAGCAACTCAATGAGACCCTATCTCTAAATAAAATACAAAGAAGGGCTGGGGATGTGGCTCAGTGGTTCATTACCCCTGAGTTTAATCTCAGTTACCCACCCCTAAGGGGGGGGGGGAGAAAGAATAACAATGGTGGTGGTTTTCCAAAAGCTTGTAAATAAGAGCTGATGCAATAGATTTTATTTCTTCAAGTCTAATCTTTGTGCCTGATGAATAGTATTAAGTTTTCAAATATTTGTTGCATTATCCATGACAAAGAATTTGAAAAAAACTTATACAGAAAAATTGGGGGTATTATGTAGCCAGTTACTACATGCTTCCATGCATTTATTTTGCTTACTTTTCCCCTTTAAACCTATTCTGCATGCTCCCTCACAGAAAAAATGACTCCCTCACAGCCACTTATGCTGTATTTTGATTTTATGTACTACATTACTCAAATGGATTTTAGTCTGTTTTATTTCTCATAGATCTAGCATCATTCTATGTGAATTCTAAACAGCTAGTAATTATGGTTTTGTTTTAAGACAGAGCATTTATTAAAAGGTCTAAAAAGAACTTGTTAGTGACTGTATTTAGCTTACAGAATGTTTAGTCTTCTGCACTTGTCCCTTTACTTTGGCCAAATGATGTAATAAAAGTATTACATTATTATCCTGAAGCTTAATCTGATTTTTTTTTTTTTTTTGTAGTTCTATTTAAACTTTTATGTGTTTTATTTCTGTTTCTTGAAAACTTAAGTGTGCTTTATGTTCTAGGTCCGGTTTATCACTAAAATATGGCATCCTAATATTAGTTCCGTCACAGGGGCTATTTGTTTGGATATCCTGAAAGATCAATGGTAAGAGATTTTTCAATTCATTTTCACTCCTCTCATAGAAATAACCAAGACTACAAGAATGTTAAATATGTAATTGCCACAAACATAAGCTTATGTTATATTTTATGTTATTGGGGCAATAATTTTATAATCTCTTAAATACATAATTGAAAATGGGTTATAATTAAGACCACAACCTGTATTTATTAATGTCAGGTGCTAGTTGTACATTTTTAAAAGTCTTGGATTTCATTGTGATTTTGGTAAATTTGACTATTTGTTGTCTCAGGAAGATATTTTCTAAGAGACTAAAAGTAAAATAAGTATTGAAATAATCTTTCCCTTGGAATATAAGCAACAGAACTTTAAAAAGTGTGTTAATTGAGCAGGTTCCAAGAAATACCTCTATAGGTGACATTTTAAAAAAAATTTAAGTTGTAGGTGAACATGATATTTATTTATTTATTTACTGTTTGTTTGTTTATATATATGTGGTGCTGAAGATCGAACCCAGTTCCTCAGTCATGCTAGGCAAGCACTCTTCCACTGATCCACAACCCCAGCCCTTGTAGGTGATTTTTAATTTGTCGCACACTTTTTTCACTAGATTTGTCTGATTTGATATTACTAGCACAGTGTTTTAAGGGTTCCTACTCAGAGCTGAACACTAGGTGCATACCTGTAACCAGCTACTTGGGAGACTGAGACAGGAGGATCTCATGTTTGAGGCTGATGCAATTTTGCAAGACCTTATCTCAAAAGAAGATACTTAAGAGCTAGGGATGTAACTCAGTGATAGATTACCCCTGGGTTCAATCCCTAGTGCTGAATAAAAAGAAAGTTACTGGTATATAGCTACCAGGTTCAAATCCTCATTCTTCAATATGAAAACCCATGTGGTTGTGAGCAAATTAGTTAAAGTTTGTATGCTTTTGTTTCCTTATATGTAAAGTTAATACCCACTTAATAGTGCTGAGTTGGTTTGTGTAATTCTCTTAGAATAGAGCATGGAATATTCTTTTTTTTTTTTTAATTTTTTATTCTACTTTGTATATATGACAGCAAAATGCATTATGACTCATATTACACATAGAGCACAATTAGCACAATTTTTCATATCACTGGTTGTATACATTGTATATTAATACCATTCATGTCTTCATACATGTACTTAGGGTAATGATGTCCATCTCATTCCACCATCTTTTTTACCCCTTTGCTCCCTTCTTTCCCCTCCCTCCCCTTTCTAGAGTTCGTCTAATCTTCCCATAGCATAGTATATTCTAACAGTGATAAATGATGGTTGTGGTGTAGGCATAAGACAGGTGTTATTTATTCAGGACATGATTTTATAAACGGAAAAAACTAAGTCAAGAGGTATAAAGTGACATTGAAGTGGGAGAAAAAAAATTAGAAATGATTGAACATTTTATGACCTTTTTCTCCAGTTTTAGTCTTTTGCAAGAGAAGGAATAATAAAAGAAAATAGAATACATAGAGCCAAGATGTGTATTTAATGAGCCCATCCTGGTTACTTAATCTTTGAAAATTATATATAGGCATTGAAAATTTCAAGCTATGTGTTTCATTCCTTAAGAAAGGAAAAGAATGAAACCTGAAGAAGGTGAATCAGAAATAACAACACTTAAGTGTATGGATACTTTGATTTATTTAATAACTTGCATGAACAGACTATAAATTTGCTGATTTGGTTTGTCTTTTCATTCTAATAGTATATCTGAGTAAATCCTATCCCTTAGTAAACTATCTCTTGGGATCTACTTTCTCGTTCCTTATAGAATAGACAAACCTTAATCTTCTCTAATGGTCATCTTTCTCCCTTCATTTCCACCTTTATTGAGATAAAATTGACATTCCACAGAAATCTACGTTTAAATGCCAATGTTTGAACCTAAGAATATTTATAATTTTTGCCAATTTATTGAACCTTGTAGTTTTTAGTGTTTCTGTTCTTTCCAAGACCGCCTTATTATATTCTATGATTCAGTGATATGAGTGAATATCTGCAGTATTAGAGATGTACTGTTTTTTTTACTTTGCTTCTAGGACACCCGTCTTTCTTTTCTTCCTTTCTTATGGCTATTCCCAGAGTCTTTAGACTTACCTCCTGGATCTTTGGGTATTAGAATGCCTCAGAGATAAGTCTATATCTCTGTTCTTTTCATCTATATGCCCTTGGTGAACTCATCTGATTTCCTAACTTCTCCATCATATCCTGGCAACTCAAATTTATTTTTCATAAACTCCAGACTAATGTCTTCTTAACAAGAAAATTGATACATCATGGTAAAAATCATACTTTGGAATAAAAAACGATCATACTGTTGATGTAAACAGCGTGGATGATTTTCACAGACTTGTTGAGTGACAAGAGCCAGATAGAAAAGAATACATAGTATATGATTCCATTTTTATGAAATTCAAGATTAGCCAAAACTAATTTTGCTGACAAAAATTAGGATAGTGGTGGGGTAGGCAAGAGTTTCAAAGGACAAGACTGAAACTTTTCAGTACAAGAAATACTCAGCCAGAGATTAAGAAGATGGCAGAGTAGAGGAGGTTATGTTCCTGCTACTCCATGGAGTGAAACCAAGAAAACTGACAGCTTCTCAGTAATGTGGGTGAACAACAACAAAAAAAGTGGGAGGACTTTACTGGAATTTAAAACTGAATATTGAAAGCAGATCCGGGACTCAGGAGTTTGGATATAATTAAATACGGAACAAATTCCTAGTGGCATAGCCACTACCATAAACTCCAGCCAGAGCTCTCCCTCCTTAAGCATAGTAGAGGGATAAAGGAATTAAAGGAACCCACACATTTGGGAGGCTGGAGGCATGTCTGTGTATGGGGCATTTAGAGACCAAGGACATTGCCTGACAAACCTGAAAGACGTGCTGCACTATATCCCAAGTGTGGGGAAAGAAGCCACCATGACTCCAGGCAGCCTGTGAAGACAAATATTTTGGAAGGAAATGTTTTATAGGAACACTTTGCAGGAAGGAAAAACATTTTGCAACTGTGGCTTGGGGGACAGCAACAGAGGAAGCCGATTCCTGGCAAATTTGAGTTTGGCCCAAAGAACAGGCCCAGTAAACACATGACATAGATTGTGCTTAAGTGACCAGAAAAAAATCAAACTTGGAGAGGTTTATACTGGTGGTCCCAGAAACCCACCTGGCTCTATTCCTCCTCCTCCAATCCGACTGTTTTGCAGCACCAGCTGGGAGAGCACCTAGCCTGGAATTTGGAAGGATGGGGCAGAAGAGATTGGACTGAATCCGAGACCAGGAAATATGGGGTCTGCAAGTGATACAGGGAACTAAGAATTGGGTCCTCCACCACACAAGTGGAACCCAGGGGGCAATCCCTGGAGGTAAAGTCTTCCAGTGTAGTCTAGCAGGTACTGGGCCCTGGAGGTGCACTGATTTAAAATCTCCAGGACAATTAGCATTCAGTGAAGAGCCTGGAGCCCACCTGATCCTAAACCCTGCTTCCAGGAACTCTACCTCCAGGATTATCTCCCTGTAGCAATCCAGAGGGTGGAGCATCACACTCCAGAAGACCCCAACTAGAACTGCTGAGAATATTTTGAACTCTAATGGAAAGGATTCTTTCTTTTCATCAAGATTTTTTTTTTTTTTAATTTCCTTTTCACTGTTTAATTGTAACCTTAATGGTACATGGACATTTATATAGTCAGTCTCTCTCTCTCTCTCTCTCTCTCTCTCTCTCTCTCTCTCTCTCTATCTCTCTCCTTCTCAACCTTATCATATTTTTTAAATATTTCCTTTTTTATTATTTATTTATGTGTGTATGTTTATGTGGTGTTGGGGATCGAACCCAGTGCTTTGTGCATGCTAGGCAAGCACTCTGAGCCACAACCCCAACTCACCCCTAGCATTTTTGAAGCCAGTTATTTTACATGGATTAGCTTTTTTGTGAATTAAGATGTTTGATTAGTATGTTTAGTTTGTATTTGATTTTTAAAACTTTTTTGTTTTACATATATATTTTTTTCTCCTGTTTTCCTTGTTCTCTTTTCTATCTCCTTCCTCCTCCCTCACAATATCACTTCTGTTCTCTCCCTGTCCACCATTTGAAAATGTAAATCCTTTTGCAAACTTGCAGTTTTTATAGGCAGTAGGCAATAGCTGATCATATTATTTCTGTTATGATAATTAACACCATAGACATCATAGTAGAAACTATTTGGTTTAATGCTGTACATTGTTTGCATTGGTTGTAATTGTTTGTCTCCCCATAAACAATGACTAAACAATGAGGTACCGGAAACCTTCAGGGACACTGGGTAGAAAAGTCCACAGGGTAGAAACTATACTCCCTCAGATCCATACTGTTAGATAGATAGACACATAAACAACATGAAAAAGCAAGGGAACAAATTGCCCCAAGCAAACCAAGATACTCCAGTAACAGAATCCATCAGAGAAGGAGTTTAGAATGTACATAGTTAAACTGATCTGTGAAGTAAAGGATGATGTAAGAGAAGAAATAAAGGTAGCAAAAGATCACTTTAGTAAAGAGATATTCTGGGGGAAAAAAAAAGTCCTTGAAAGGAAGGAAACAGTAAACCAAATGAAAAATTCAATAGAAAGCATCACCAACAGACTAGACCACTTGGAATACAGAACCTCAGGCAATAAAAACAAAATATGAGGGGCCAGGGTTGTGGCTCAGTGGTACGGCGTTTGCCTAGCATATGCGAGGCACTGGGTTGGATCCCCGGAACCATGTAAAAATAAAAAATAAAGGTATTATGTCCATCTAGATCTAAAATATTTTTTTAAAGTATGTAATCTTCAAAATAAAGTGAACCACAGAAAGAAGAAACCATGAAAAGAACTTCCAAGAATTATGAGATAACATGAAAACACCAAGTTTTAAGATTTGTCTGGATAGATGAAAGTGTGGAGATACAAACCAAAGGAATACACAATCTTTTTTTTTTAGAGAGAGAGAGAGATAATTTTTTAATA